TATGCAAAGCACACTCCGGCGAAACACCTGGATGCTGGCATAGATTAGTACATATAATGATTATGATGTTCATAAATAAAAACCATTCGATAGCCTAAGGCAAGCATAAAATGCACATCTGCAAGGTATAATTATGATAATTATATCTGTGATCGGCTTTGGGCATTACAAGAAATTAAAAGGCAATTGAGATGATAGGATTTATTCCATTTTACATTTAACGTTAATTAAAAATATCTACCTTTATACGCTGACTGTAGAATGTTATTCTGTTWAATACTAAATATTTTGAAATTAAAGACCTCGTGTCATAATAAGCAGTCTGCAGTTTTTTAATTGGAAGGGCATGCTCAACTATATCCTCCAAGTTGTCTAGAATATCTCTTTCTGTTGGACCTTATAGGGAATAGAATGGAAAATCACAATGTAATAATAACTATCCACTTTATGAATATATTTGCCTTCATTATTTACATTTATTAGCAAACATATACATTCTGTACCTGACATGGAACACACATGGATATTGCTTTTTACTACTGCAGTCTGTTGCTGTCTCCATAGGAGGTCTCAGGACCATAATTCTTTAGTGCAGCATTGAGTTCATCAAGTGCATCAGCTTGATGTGCAAGCAAACCAACAGAACCGAGAAGCTGCTCTGTATTTCGCATTTCCGTGTGCAAGCTGCACAATTGTATGCTACTTAACTCCTCATCAAGAAGGCAAGTTAGATCATCACGAATACGAGTTGATCTATATTCAAAAGAAAATTACAACCATATGAAGGAATGTTGCATCAAAAATCAAAAGTAAAGAAGAGATAAAAGTTTTCAAATTTACTAAATTTTAGGCATTCAAAAAATATAGGTATTTCAACAATACATTACGAGAAGGGTGAATGCACATCAGAATTAAGTTTAAATTGAAGTATTCGCTATATTGATCAAAAAGTAATAAACTGCAGTCAACTATGTTCTGTAATGCCATTTTTGCTTAATATATTGTTAGCAGATGAGTGTTTAATCATTCCCTCTGACAACTTTTTTGAAATAATGAATTATATACAAGGCCATGCATGAATGCAGTCGATGAATGAGGTGAGAATCAAATCTTCCTATGTTGCTCTTGCTTTTAAGACAATCTAGGCAAGTTTCATCTGGCCGGACTCTATGACATTTACAGTTCTAAAACATATGTCAAATGAAAAGTATAAGATTATAATTGTAATTTTTGGAGATGAGTTTTAATATATATACAAAAAAAACATATTCTTAACCAGCTGTGCATGTTATGCTCGCTGGAATTAATAAATATTTACTAAATTTACAGTTAACTGGCCAGTTGATATGTCACTGTTTAAACAGAATAAAAAGTTCAAATATACTTACCCTTATTGCATTACAAATGAAGCAGAATTCAACAGCTACTCCTTTTCCTCCCAACATAAAGTCTTCATCATCTTTTTTCACCAAGAGAAGAAGCAATGTCTTATAATCCACAGTAACTAAAAAACGTACAGTATTAAAATTTGGTAAATAACATTCTGCTCACAAACCATAGACTCGTGATCTGATTGTACTTATGAGGTATTTCAAAGATAACATTAATCAATGAATTAATTAATCGATATAATCAATGCGTGCACAGGTTTTTTCTTGTCTTAGCCCACAAATCAACTAATAAGAACACGCTAGGTCATCGCTTGACAACATGTCATGATTTGTATGATATAAATGGTTCATAGAAATATAGTTCTATTTCATTGCGCAATTTCATAATAATATATAAATTTTACAATGTATTCTTTTCCATCAACTTTGAAAGGCTTCTTCTTTAGAATTTTTTTTTGATTGATGATGACTTTCAAGAGAATCTTAAGGTTTTCCCTAAAAATTAAAAATACTAAAATTACGACATCATGTATTTGCCATTGTTTGAAAAAGCAACGTATAATCCGAGTTTCAACGAACCTGTCTTCTTTRCAATTGGCTATTGCAATTGGATAGACCGACTTAGCACTCTGGATAGAAAAGCCTGTGGGTGTGTCAGCAGGTACTATTCCAACCATTACCTGATTTTTACCTAACAAATGAAAATGAGGAGTGACAAAAATGTATTTTTTTTTTATTTTTCTTGTTTTGTTTTGTTTTGTTGAAAAGCAGATAAAAAAGAAAACAAACTGTAATATTTCCTTCGTATTTGTATAAAGTATATGTAGCATCGTTTTGGTAGCATTTCATACAGCCTTTTGCACAAATTATGAGACATTTTTATATATATAAATATACCTAACCACATATCAAAAACACCCAAGAAATTATGGGATACCATCGCTGATATTTTGTCTGTAACAACCTGATGCTAGGGAATCATGACAAAATATAATAGAGATATACCATAATTTCTGGGGTRTTTTTGATATTTGGTTRGGTATATTTATATACATAAAAATGTCTCATAATTTGTGCAAAAGGCTGTAATTACTATAATAAAACAATGTTAAAAGCTGAATTATGGTGTATGTTTACCCCAAAATGGTCGTCCATCAAGTTTTATGTTGACCAGAACTTCCTCGCCTAGCGCCTTGTGTAACCTCAGCTCCCTTATCATTAGCTCCATTACAGCTAACATGTCAACAGAATAGCCTTTTAAAGRAAATGCCAATGATGTCAGACACCTTTGTAAATATCAYCTTCTTGATTGCTTTCATTTGGTTAAGGTTTAGCAGTATGGGAGTATCATCAGATCTCTAAATTGCGCAAAAAAGTTAAATATAGTTAATCAAAGTGTAATAGTACAGTTTATGGAAACCCATCTAACGATATCTTTAGCTTCATATTCCTTCTATAAACGAGGTCAGCCGATAAAATTGGAATTTGAAATTTCCACAATAAACATTAGATGTCCAAAGCGCGCGAAACTCAACCGCGGTTTAATTAATTTCAGATAACAATACATGCTGTTTATCATAAAACTTTCACTTGTTATTTGCTCTTTTCTAATTTTCAACATTGTTAAAATCAAAGTATAAAAGGTAAAGATTTGATTCTAMGCTACACTATGATTAAGCCTATTAACCATAAAACTGAAAAATCATTTTTTTTARTGTTTTACCTTTGTCCTTCCGAGCTTTGAAACATTAATCACCGTTTGCCACATATCTCCTGAAATACGAGCTTTTGTCTTAAAGTAAAGAAGAGTCCAGTCAGGCACACGCATTGATTCCAAGAATAGTGATAGCGCGTCATCGCCCAGCAAGTCATTAACCCATGCGTTTGACACCCTTTTTGACGGTAACCTTG